GTGCTACAAGCAAGGGTAGTGGGTGGTGCCCCCGGCAGCCCCAGCAAGGACTCTATGATAGGAGGAGAGGTGGCCCTTCCTGGAGCGACGCACTCATTGTGATTCAGGCTGTCATCGCACTCCTCAGGACCTCCGCACACTCCTGAGGTGGTTCCTGACCTTTCTTACGCCTTACAAAGTGCTCAGTGAAGTCTTAATGACATTTTTTTTTTTCTCTTTTGAGATCGTCTACTTCCTAATAGGATAAATTCAGAGGAAAGCACGCTCCAATCCTTCAACTGCCTCTTCTCAACACAAACAACGAAGAACTCATTAACGGGCCTGAAGAGGAGGCGGTAGAAAGGGCTTGTCACAGGACCATGGGCTGAGAAGCCACCCTCAGGTCGGATCGCACCACTCGCCCCAAGGCCACTGGGTCAGGAGTGGGGTCCGTATCCCAGTGAAGGGGAAACTGATGTCTGATGTCTGCCTGGCATTGCCATGGCATCTCTTTGGGCAAAGTTTGGTTAGTGATTTAGCCCTGCGTACATCTGAGCGCGCTTTGACAGCCACGCTTTTTCATTTGACTCTAACAGGAATCCCATGAAATAAGCAGAATGGCCTGACTCTCCCAATTTGGCAGAAAAGACAATAGGGAAGTTAAGCTCTGAGAAAACAGTGGACATGGAGTGAAAACCCAGGCTCAGCCGCTCATTGTGTGACCTTGAGTGAGGCTCCTTCCCTTCCAGTTTTGTCATCTGTGAAAGGCTAGGGATGGACAACATGGGTGTGAGGTCTTTTTACACATCTATTCTAGTGATAAACTACATGAGCAAAAGGACTTGCCCAAGGTCATGCAGTTGGCGAGGTGAGCGAGAATAACACAGAGGACAGCGTTTTCCAGACTGCCCCTGTTGAAAGGGAACACCCTCCATTGCCACCCACACCATCTCCCCAAGTGTGGGCTGCAGGGGCCTCTACATGCCCCCTAGACCTTGCAAAGACCAAGACCCCCGGGGGTGGTGCAGTAGCGGGGCACACCCAGCATCTGTCCTGACTGCAACTTGAAACCCCGACGTGGCCAGTTGCTCATTAGAGAAGAGGCTGTTTTCTTTGGTATCTATTTCACTAAATGAACCTAATGGACACGGGCCCGGTGTCAGGCCCTGCACCAGAGGAGGGGATGTGGAAGCAAATGAGACACATACTGTCCACCCATGAGAAAGATGGGAGGCATGTGGACCAGGCTGCTGTGTACTGCTGGGTGGGTGAATAAGAATTCATCCATGTGCCAGGAGGGTGGTGCTTCCCCACTCCCCTGGGACAGATGCGCCTATACTCAGGACCCTTCCGGACTATGCCCTGTGTATCTTTTCACCGGGCTGTTTATTTGTATCCTTGAAAATGTCCTTCATAATAAATGTAAGTAAGTGTTACATGGACCTAACCCTAACCCTTACAGTAAATGTAAATAGGTGTTTCCCTGAGTTCTGTGAGCTCCTCTAGCAAATTAATTAAACCCAAAGAGGGGACCATGGGAACCCCAACTTGAAGCCAGTCCATCAGACATTCCGGAGGAGTGGACTTATTAATATGACCGGTGGGAAGGAGGGGGCAGTCTTGTGTCCCTCAACCTGTGGGATCTGACACTATCTCCAGGTAAATAGTGTCAGAATTGAATTGGGGGACATCCAGCTGATGTCCACTGAAGAACTGATTGCTAGCTTGCTGGTGGGGAGAAATCCCCACATATTTTGAGGTCACGGAAGTCTTCTGGGTATATTGTTGTGGTGTGAGAGCAGAGGAAAAATGTTCTGAGAGTTTTTCCAAACAAGGCTCCTGTTGGATCACTAACCCTATCACTGGCCCTGGGCTCTCTCAGCCAGGGAAAAGGGGCATTTTTTTGTGACCCACACAAAGGCACTCGCTGTAGCCCAGGTGAGCATGGTCTTCTTCAAAGGGAGTGGAGATTCATAAAACTTTAGAAGGGATTAAGTTTTGAGAAGTTTGTGTGTAGACAGCATCCGCCAAACACATTGGAGAGAGCAGATGCATGCAGAAGATGTACACGTCTGACCACAACCAACCTACTGTCTGGAAGAAGTATGTGCTCTTTTTCTGAGAGTCAACCCTTCCAACCACACAGAATCAAGGAACCCAATAGCTCCCTTTCTGCAATGTGCTAGTAGATGACTATTCTTCCACCTGTTCAACACAGTCAACAAAATCGATTGAGGGCCATGTCTTAGGCACAGTGATCAGAATCCATGGAGGGGGACCATGAAGAAGGAGAGACAGCTTTCAAGAGGCCAGGGGACTCTCGGCTTGGGAGAGTACAAAGAGACAGACTCAAATACCCCTAGGACAGAGCAGAGAGTGATCAGTGTTAGAAGATACCCGTGATGGCCTGGGGAAGGTGCCATGGGAATTCAGAGGAAGGAATGATTAATTCCAACCCAGAATCCGGAAAGATTTCATGAAGGAGACTGCGCTCACAGAGACCCTCCACCAGAAGAGGAAGAAGCCCTCAGTCCCTGTGTCCTTTGGCCACATCAGCTGTGTAAGCTTGAGAAAGCCGTTTTTCTCTGTTTTAAAATGAACCATTTGCCCTAAGTGCTTCACAGCATTATGGGGATTAAAAGAGAACTGATTTAAATGCACATTGGATAAATAAAAGCACCAAATATAAGCCTTTCATCATCACTGGGGGAAGAGAGGGCAGAAAGCTAAAAGCAGAAAGTGTATAAGGGAGGAGGTGGGGTGGGGGTGGGTGGTGTCTGCCAAACACGGGGGCGCAGGGATGATGTGAGTGCCTACTGGGCTCGTAACTGCCTCCAGTGATTTCTTTAACCTCCCACAGCGAATTTTATTAAAGAGAACCCGATAAGAGCAAGCCAGAACATCGAAATTCCTCTGCATTGGGAAAATGGAAGTCTCAACCAGGGAAGTGGCTTCCAGTCCCAAGTGACAGGATAACCCTGAGCCCAGCCCTCAGGATCGCTGGGGGAGCGTGTGAGCCTCGGTCTCTCCAGCTCCCAGCACTGAGCTTGGGTTTGATGTTGGCTCACCAAACACCCATTAAATGAATGGATGCAGTCCTGACTGCTTTCCAAGGAATTTTACATTCATGGGCCATTTTGATTCTTAACCATAAGCCAGAGGAGCAGATAGGGCACAATTATTATCCCTGTCAAAGAGGGGAAACTGAGGCTCCCAGGGGTAAGTGTCCAAGTTAGCACTGTTAGAAGGAACCTGGACCTCTGACTCCTCCTAAAGGGTCTTTTGCTCACACCATGTCACCCCCAAAGAATTATTATGATAGCCAGTTTATGCCACTATAAACCATCTTCCTGGACCTTCCTAAAGGCCTACTACACGCTGTCTTAAGCTCTTTCCCTGTCGCAACTCACTTAATCAGGTCCTTTCATCACATGATGCTCAAATGTACTGGTTTATTCCAATTCACAAGGTAGTTTTTGTGCATCCCACATATAAGAGTCTTGTGGATTTTCTAGATCTTTTACCAAGAACAGATTTGGATTAAAACCTTTGGTTTGGTGGTTTGGAGTCATTGCTCCTTAGAAGAAAGAGAAGGAAGAAGCAGTTCAGGGTATCAGAAAGAGATACAAGGGCACTGTTTTTCCCTGCCTCCTGTGGCCCCACCTCATGGACATTCCGTCCTACAGAGTTGGCTGTCAGTTTTGACAGATGGCTTGGCTGCAGGAGCGGGGCAGAGGACAGGCTCATGGTTAAGGTCGCTAAGTAATTTGTGGCACCAAGGAGCCAGAGCCAGCTAGGCTGATTTGGGGTCTGAAATCTGGGCTGGAGTCCAAGTTCTAGCCAGGGAGAGTAGGATGGGGAGCCCTGCTTCCTGCGCCTTGTGACACCCTCCACTGCAGCTGTAGCAGGCAGATCAGTGCCCTTCTATGTAGGGTGCTAAGGGAGGGCAGAGGAATGGGGCTCAGGGAGACAGTCAAAGCACCTTCAAGGTCAAAGCCACCCTCCCCTTTCATGACCCACCCCAGCCCCTTGGATGATAATAGACTACTGTACACCTACTCCCAAGGAGATGTTTTATTCTAATAACATTTTTTGTAGCATCAAGGTTTGGGCAGGAGGCTGGAAGCCACACCCAGCCCCCAGCTCTGTTGCAGAGTACATGGCAACATGCTCATGCTGAGGGGCTCCGAGGCACCCCTAAAGTGGCAGGAACCTGGGACAGGGGAAGGAAGGGAATGTCAGAGGACTCCCAGCTTCTGAAGAGAGGAGTGGGTCAGGTAAGAGGAGGTCTGGGCCTTTGAGAACAACTCAGTGTGACATTTGTCTCCAGCAGAGTGGCCAGGTCAGCTCTGATCCTTGCAGTTGGTAAAGTATTTAGCACCCACCACGGGGGATCTCAGTAGTACAGTCTGCCACCCATGGCTTTCGCATCACACTGAGAGGCAAGAGTATCGTGGGACCTGGGAGAACTGAGTCATTAGCTGGATAAGGTACAGTGAAGGATTAGCTCATCAGATCAATCATTTGTGCCGGCTGTCCACTGACTGAGAGAAATGGACACTGAGTGGGTCAGCTTGGATGGGATGAGGGAGGTGAGATCAACCAGAGCATGAGGCTCACAGGGTGGGAAGCCTCAGGGGGTGTCCTCAGCACACAGGAAAGACATGGGATGGCTAAGTGGACAGCAGGGATAAGAGGATGCTAGAGGCAAATTCACCAACCACATAGTTTTCAAGCCATAGAATTTAGAGCTGGAAGAAATTTTAGAGATCTGGTCCAGCTTCTGCTGGCACAGCTTAGAGTGATCAAAGCCACACGGCAGAGCCAAGACCAAGAACCAGATCTCTCTCCACGCCTCCAACAACTTTTCAGGCTAATGATCTTCCTAGCACCCTCAAGCCTCCTGTAATTGCTAACTCTAGTCCTCTGACTACCGTGGAGCTAGGAATAGCTTGGGAGTGCTGTAAGTATTCTTGGGGATTCTGTGGACCACCGGTATCCACCATTCCAGCCAGACATACCTTGTGGGAGTAATGCTGATCAACAATCCTTGCCAACCCGAAATCCCCAATCTTGAGCACGAGGTCCTCTGTGCTGATGAAGATGTTGGCGGGCTTCAGGTCCCTGTGCAGCACGTTGGCGGAGTGGATGTACTTGAGCCCGCGGAGCAGCTGGTACATGAACAGCTTGGCATGCTCTTCCGCCAGTGTGCCCTGCTCCAGCAGGCGTGCCAGGTCAGTCTCCATGTACTCCTGGACGATGTAGGCCACGCTGAACTTGAGCAGCTCACCCTGCAGGTCAGTGCCCTTGGGCCCGAGCACCTCGTACACTTTGACGATGTTGTCGTGGTCCAGACGCCGAATGATCTTGATCTCTCGGAGTGCATGCTTCATGCTGCGGGCATCACTCAGGGCAATCTTCTTCACGGCGACCTTCCGGCAGGCCCGGCTGTCCATGGCCGACAGCACCAAACCATTGACACCGAAGCCCAGGGGTTGGAAGTCAACAAAGCGCCCACCGAGGTCATACCCGTAGACACTGGCGATGCAGTCACCCTTCTCAGCCATTGTGGGCTCAGTGATCTGGAGCTGCCCAGGTAACACAGGGGCAGTCAGGAAAGGCCAAGTCTCGGCTAGTGGTCTCCCTCGCACACTTCATTCTGTCAAGTCCCACGGCTGCGGGATGCATTTTCTCCTGGTGAGGTCACTGCCACCAGCTCTCTGGAGACGAGAATGGCATATGGCCATGCTCGCTGAGCTGCACTAGTTGGGGGCTCAGACTGTTGCCTTAACCTGCATTGGGAGGGCTGTCCACTAATTCCTGTGTTTCCTGAACACTCCTTAAAGCTTAGAATGGCTCATATTTCTTTTTAAATCTGGCATCTTGGAAAGAAAACCGAGTATCATTATCTACGGAATGTCAAGTTTTCTACCATAGTGGACTGCAAAGTAAAAGATGCAGAAACTCTCCCCTTTGAATACTTTGTTACAGGCTGAAATGTAAGAGTTGTTTGCTGAGCTGAACTCCTTTACTTAAGATGCTCCAAAGCTCAGCTGTGTCACAGCCTCTCTCTGTGTTCCAAGCAGTATGCAGGGATCCCATCAATGAATTCTAGAGGCATCCAGGGGCTTCTTTCTACCTCTCCCGTTTCTACCAGCTCACCTTAGATTCCAAAACCTGGGCCGGTCTGGTGAGCACTGGTGAAAAAAGCTGGAGAAACCCAAGCACCTTTCATGAACTCTACACCAAGTTACGCCCGAGGTTCCAGATGCAGGGGAGCTCAGCTGCCAAGCCGGGATCCTCTGGAGCCTTTGGATATGGGCAGCATCCTCTTTCGCCAGCTCATCCACGCCACCTTGCCCAAGACTGTATTCCACTGCACCCAGAGAGGCTGCAGGAATGTGGCATCTTTCAGACCAAGTCTCCTTCCCTGTCAAAGAGATAACGTTGGGTAAATTTCCATACTCCGGCTTCCAACACCTTCCCACTTGCATCTTTTGTTAACCAGCCCAAGTGTTATTTGATCTGTCCAGCCAGCTGAAACACTGCTTGCTCAGGGGATTCCGGGCTTTGCACTGCCCAGCCACCCTCCTGCTGTGCCTAGCACTCCCCTGGAAGAGAGAGAAGATGGATTGATTTGATAAGACCATCAGATGTTGTGCCTCTTATGTCAGTGCCGGCTCCCACAAGGTTAACATGTGCAAATTACGGGGGAGAAGTATCCCTTCTGACCTTTGCAAAATTAATTTGTTTTATGCTTTCCAAACACACACATCAGCGCTAGCTAGGAAGGGTGAGAGTAGAAAGTAACGAGTTGCAGACAGAAAACAAAGGATCGATACTCTTGTTTTGCACTTGGGTTCCTTTTCTTCCTTCTTTTACAAATGTCTTTGAACATTTTAAGAGGCTTTCACGGGGACTGAGATTTAATGACATTTGTATCTCTCGCTTTCCACGTAAGTTGAAGAAGCCCATGTACCAAATTACAAGGAAGTAATGTTGCCACCCGTAATAAAAGGACTCTCTTTGCCCAGAAACCAGGGTGCAGAGTTCCTAGTGCTACATCAAGACTGGCATGGTGAGCTGTATTCTTTTTGACAATGGTGACCTCGCTCTTCAAAGCAATGGGTCAAATCTAAACTTCACTGTCCCTGCCCTCTGGTGGCTGTTGACTCAAATTACAGGTATAGGAGATAAGTGGGGAGAAAAAACCCTGCAAAACTAGAAATGTAAATTCAGATCTCTGAAATAAGGTAATATCATAGCGTCTAAGAGACTGGCAGGTTTTCTAAGTTCATAAAGACCACAGACACACAAAGAAAGAACACTGTATACAACACAAAGGCATGAACCTGGCAGACTGCTGCTTTATTCTCATCATATCACAGGGCCTCCTGTAGAGACGCTTTCCTATCTGAAGTCTGCACAATTCTGCAAAGATAAATGAAGCAAAAACAATAGTCAACTCAATGCTCTGAAATTAACGGGGCAAATTAGGGGACACAGATGATCTGAAATAGTAAACAATCAGATCCCCTGTAAAGACTTCTAATGAAAGAAATTTGCCAAGGGCCTAGAACATAGTAATTGCTCGACAGATGTTACCTATTGTTGCTGTTTAGTTAAACATTCCCTTATATTTGAATAAGATGTATTCAAGATTCTGATAATTTGTCAGATCTTTGATAATTCTATTCTGCATGTTTTTACTGGGTCCAGGAACAAAACAACCAGACTTACAGAATTTCAGATTGGGAAGCAATCTAAGCAAACAAGGCCTGTGGTCGTTATCTAGAGATGATACTGCCCTCCTCACCTTATTTGACTGGGAGTCACTACTGGTATTTAATGGGCAGGGCCGGATTTGCTAACCATTCTACTGAGCATCCCCACCTCCATGCCCAAATGCCCAGAGCACGTCCACTGACATCCACCCCTCCACTCCCAAATGCCAACAGCACTTCCACGGAGAAACATCAATTCTGATTCCAGTTCTCACTTTACAGGTGAGGACACCAAGGCTTGGAGAACACCAGCTTAGTGCTTTCAGTATAGATAGGGTCAATATCCATCTGATGAATGGGTAAATGAATACCATTCACTCTGTTTGAGGATGCCCAGCCACTAAGAGACAGTGCTGGGAGCACCCAGTGAACCAGATTCTATGGCCTGTGCTAGTGAAGTCCACCTGGATACCTAACTCAGGGGAATCAAAGAGCCTCCGCAGCTCCCCATTGTCTCACTCCTCGACTCCTGCTGCCCAAGTCACGTAATGGCAATTACATTGAAGCTTCTCTTTCTCCCCACAAGCCTGGTCTGGCTCCCAAGGGCACAGCAAAGAGGCAATCGCATATTATTATTTTTTTTTAGGAAGAGACATGCTTAAGCCTTCTTCCCTTTCCAGCTCCTGCTGGGTTGTAAACAGAGAGAGGAATGAGCACCTAAGCAGAGAGGGGATGACATCACAAGCAAGCTGAATGCAGGATTTGCTTGAGGTCAGCTGCAATGCAGATAATCTGCAAATAATTAAGAGGTGCTTTATTTATTTTTAAAACTCTTTCCCTCTCATGCATGGGAAGAGACACCCTGTGTGTGTGTCTCTTTTTCAGTGGTCTTCCCAACATGCTGTCAGCTTTAGGGGGCAAGTACCATGTCAAGGTGGAAAGCCTCGATTCCAGCCACTCTACCTTTCTGGTGGGCCACTAAATAGACTCTTTCCTGCCTGGCTTCTTTGCTTGTACCTTCCCAGTTCCTGAAATATTCTCATGCTTCCCCACCACCCCCATTTGTTGAAATCCTATCATTCAGAATCCAAAGTCTCCTTTTTTTCCTAAAGCATCCATCCCGGTACTCAATGACATATCTCCCTTTTCTAAACTCCTGTGGCACTCATGTGTATGCTGTGTTTGGCATTTACCATATATTAGCCTGGGTTGTTATTTAACTTTTTGTACATGTCCATCTCCCAACTAGACTGTAAGCTTCACAAGTAGTTTACAGGGCACAAAGTAGGGCATAGAAAATATCCGTGGACTAGAAGGAGCTGAGTGCCATTCATTATGTCTACAAAGTGGTGATGCCTACATTTCCTAGGGGTCACTGTCCCTTGTGATACTTGCCACGGAAATTGTTCAAAGGGCGCATCTCACAACAAGCCCTAACCACTCAGACCAACTAATATTTCTGAACTTCAATCCTCTTAGTAACATCTTCTGCTTAGATGCTGCCTCTCTAGAGTTTCAGTGCTCTAATCAGGCAACCTCTTGTCTGACCATTTCTCCGTTCCCATTTGAGTTTATTATTATGCCTCTCTTCTCAAGCCTCTTGATTTTCTGTTTCTCTCCCCAAGTCCTCTGTAATTTGCATTGTAAACCCTTTGTCTTTCTCACTAGGTGGGCTGATTACGAGGCATCCACCACCTAAGAAGTCTCAGGTTAGTGGTCCATTTCTTGCATGATATGCTGAGAGGTGTGGGCCCATCAGCCATGGGGAGGAGCAGACTGGCATCTGGATGTGTCCACCTGGGCAGGGGAGTGGTTGTGGCAGCTCTTGGTGTGGTGCAGCTTCTCAGGGCCAGTTCAAAGGTGGTGGTTCAGTACTGCTCCGAACCACAGGTGTGATTTCAAACCCAGGGAGGTGGCATTCACTGTCTGGGATGGAAAGGCCACTCGTTCAGTCGTGCTTGAATGACACCCAGCAAGAGGAAAGCATGCAACTCTCGCAAGGGCAGCCAAGGTCCCCATGATTCCATGGCTGGGCATTGTAATAAAACACAGGAATAGAAATTTCTACCCTCAGGACTCTGAACAATGGAGTTTCAGCTCTCACTGCTTTCTCACCGACTCTCAGGCAACAGCTTATTTGAGGGCAATTAATTATTCTCTCACTCATCCAGCCTTTTAACGTGTGGAGGCAAACCAGAGACGAGATGGCGTGTGCCAACTGTCCCTTTCTGGGATTCCTGGGGCTCTGGTTTACACATTGGCTTTGGAAAGTCTAAATTTAGACTCACCTCCCTGTCTGCTCAGATCCTCCCAAACCTCATGCTGACGACTTTCCACAGGAACTATCTCCCCAGCAAGGTGCTGACATTTCACAGACGCTGCTTTCTTCCCCTCTCCTGAACACTCTGAAACTTACAGGAAGCCCTTCTCCCATGAAGCCGCTGTTTCCAGCCGAGCAGGCTATGCACTGTGTGCTTCTAGGTGGCACCTTCACATGGCAATCAGTCTGACTCCAAGGCTCGTGATCCTAATGAGTCACTGTGGTCTATGTGAATGGAGTCCTCTAGACCAAGGATGGGCAAACTTTTTCTATAAGGAGCCAGAGAAGAAATATTTTCATGTTTGTAGGACATACAGCCTCTGTTGAAACCACTCAACACAACTTAATTCTGCCTTTAGAGCAAAAAAGCAGCCACAGACAATACCTGAACAAAGGTACATGGCTGCATTTCAATAAAACTTTATTTACAAAACTAGGTGCTGGGCCAGAGTAGGCTTGTGGGCTGCAGTTCATGGACCTCTGCTCTAGACTCCACGGGAACATCCTCTAGCTCATTCACAAGCAGGCCCTGAAGTGTGCTGGGACCTGGCCCCTTTCTAGCTCCTCCTGCACTGCACTGTCTCCTTCCTCTTGGACTCAGTCTTCCTTTTGCCCCTCATGGTGACACGATCCCAGGCCTGGCTGGCCTCCTGGGGAGCTACCCTAGGAGGTGAGGCTTGGCTCGGCTCATCTGCAAATTCTTTCCAAAAGCTACCTAATCTGGCCTAAAGGTCCCTTCTAGTTCTGCAATTCTGTGGTACGGCTGATGTGCCTCACTCCGTAACCCCACTTGCATTTTAACAAGCCTTCCAGAGAGATGGCAAAGAGGACATGATGGAGATGGTGGAACTGCATGTCCTGAGGGTTTACCAGAGGCCAGTGGCTTCACCTGATTATTTCAGTTGGGTCTCACAACATCCCTGTGAGGTTGATATCATTTTCCATGGAGCTCCAAGAGGGAAGTGATTTTCCCAGTCACCCTCTGGCAGGTGAAGAATCTGGGATGTCAACTCAGGTTGGTCCGAGTCCAACGCTTACGCTCTAATCGCCATAACATGATCTCAGCCCCAGCGAGTGACTTACCACAAACCATCTAGGCTCAGTGTGAGTTTTCAGGCCCAGTGAGGGAAAAATGTGAGGTAGGCACACCTTGTGGTATGTCTCAGATTAAAGCAAGTGGCAGACACCTTTTCAGCCTGTGTTCAACCCAGTATGGAGGCCACAGTAACCCCATTCTATGGAAAGAGAAACCCAGAAATAGAATGCTGAAATAATATTAAAAGTGGAGTAAAAAACCCTTGATTTTAAACAACCACACCCCCACCTTCCATCATGTTCTTGACCTTTAACTGTGAACCACAGCCATGCTGGAGCCTGTGGCACAGGGACTGAGCATCCTTGGGATGAGCTGGCTGACTTGCAGGCATCCTGACTAGCACAGCCTGTAGCTGACACTGACTGTGGCCACCTACCCAGGAAACATTCCTGCTTCCTCCTCACGAACAAACCAGGTCTGGTTCGGCCATCAGGCAGCTGAGCCCACTCGGGAATGACTCCCAGTGGGTCCAAACCAGCGTTTCTCAGCCTCAGCACTGTCAACATTTTGAGCCAGGTGATCCTTAGCAGTGGGACTGTCCTGTACATGGCTGCGTGCTCAGCAGCATCCCTGGCCTCAGCCTCCTGGATGCCAGTCACACCCCCAAGTTGTGACAACTGAAAGTGTCTCCAAACACTGACAACTGTCACCTATGGAGGAGGCACAAAATCGCCTCTGGTTGAAAATCACTTGTCTCAATCAGCAGTTTTCAACAGGGTTGGTGTTGGCATCTGAGCTGGGTGCCTCGGCCTCAAGGTCAAGCTGTTGGCCAGGGCTGCAGTCATCTCAAGGCTCAAACAGGGAGGAAGATCTGCTTCCAAGCTCACTCAGGTGATTACACAATGACTGGCTTCAGCTTCTGCAGTTCTCTCTGCTTTATGGGACTGTACCATACACTATTGCTGGAAGTTTAACAACTCTGATCCCAACCCACTAAATGCCAATAGCACTCCCTAGTCCCTGGGTCAGACTCACATTTCCCAGAGTCCCAGGAGGCAATGTCGTCTCCCAAACCCATCTCTGTTGAGGACCATGAATCTAAACCAACTGTGGTAATACAATTCCCTCTGGGCAGTGATTGCTTTAGGGGTGGTCATATGATCCTGTTCTGGTCAACAAGCCTAAGGGAAAGTCTGCTGGGGAGTCCTAAGGGAAAAGGTTTCCTTCCCAAGCAAGAAGAAACCCTACTTCCTGTTTGTGGATGCGGGTGTAGAGGAAGTGGTGTTGGTGCTGCAGCAGCTGTCTTGAGGCCACATGGGGAGGTGGCAGAGGAGCGTGGGACCTTGCTAGCATCGCTGCTGAGCCACGCCTGCAACTACCCACCTCCAGCTTTCTTGCCAAGAGAGACCGTCAAGCCTTACTGCTGTTTAAGACATTTTTGCTTTGGACTTTTACATTTTTTTTTCACTTGACGCTGAGATGATCTAACTGAGAGTAACTTGCTCAGCACATGGTTGGTCTAAATGGAAAGTGAGGAGAGGTAGAACACATGGCTTCTGACCTCAAGAAGCTTATATTCATATCGGGGGAGTGGAACCACAACAATAATTATGGAAACAACACAGGAACATTCAGGAGTCAACTGCGTGATCCCTACTGTAAGTGTAGCAGGAAGCGGGATGAGTCCCATCAGTCAGAGAGGCGCCTGGAGGATGTGGAAGGCAGCTACCCAGATGCCCCAGTGATCCTGGTTTTCAGGCCCTGTGTCATTCTCTCCCCTCAAGTGGGTGCTGGACTCACTGACTCATTTCTAAGGAACAGAATTTGGCAAAAGGAATGGGATGCCACTTCTGAGATCAGGCTATAAAGAGCCTGTAGCTTCCATCTCAGGTAATCACTCTCTCCTGTTCGCTCTTGGGGAAGCTGCTGCTCCTTCTTGAGGCAGCCCTGTCGGGGGATCCCTGTGAGTTCTCAGAAACGGACCTGCCAGCCACCGCGTGAGTGAGCTTGGAGGCAACCCTTCCCTGAGTTGAGCCCTGAGTGGACTACAGCCCTGCCAACAGCTTGATGGACGTCTCAGGACACTTCGAGTCAGAGGCACCAACTAAACTGTGCCCAGATTCTTTACCCTCAGGAGCTGCATGGTAATAAATGTTGTCTTTAAGCCAATAAATGTCGGGACATTTGTTATACGGCGATAGCTAACTAATGGAGAGGAAGGACTTGGAGATCTGCAGTTCTTGACTTTCTAAAATAGAGAAGAGGCCTTGAAAAGTCCTTGTTGAGTCTGGGGTCTTGGGTCTCACCTGGCGTGGATCTCATTAGATTCCAGAGTCAGAACTGTGGGGAGGAGGGAACCTTACCTCTCTGTTTTCACTGATGTAACCCAGGGTCCAGGGCAGTGTCTGGCATACAGAGAGGGATTCAATAAATAAATATCAGTGGACACAGGAATGGCTCCATGTTTGCAGTGAGATTCTGGTTATGACAAAGTACAACCCACATGGAAAGATAAATTTAAAAAGCATCCCTGAGGCCCAGAAAAGAAAGCTTTTTAAATCCCTGCAGCCTGAGTAGGGGCTAAAAGCAAGGCAGGAGGCCACACAGGCTCCCGAAAGCATAATGACCAGAGGTATTTCCTCACCAAGGAAAGAACTGCTGTGTAATCGCTGATCTTTACTGTTGAGACTCAGCTGGGTCTTCTCTCAGTGGCGGCAGCAGGACCCCCAGGAATGAGGAGAAACAACTCTCCCTGGCCTTCTGGCTTTTGAAATTAAGCGCTGCTCCCTCCACCCTGGAGGAGTGCAGGTTGCAGTGGTGCACGTGGAGTGACCTGTGCACGCTCAGAAACTCATTTTCCTTTGCGGAAACTCTGATATATGGGCAGATGGCTGCTCCTAATGGTGCCGCCTATGATGCCAACCATGGGCTACATTCCCTATGCCTGTGCCTGTCTCATGCCCAGCACCATTCCCAGCCTAGGACCTGGGATGACCCTTCACACACACCAGCCAGCAGGACACCAACTGACCTGAGCCAAAAGCCCAGCTTAGTCTAAAATAAATAGGTCTCAAGCAGAGGAACCACTGACAGGCTCTGCTGCCCATGATGGGCCTCAGGTGAGCCCTCTCCCGCTGGGACGTGTGAGCCTGTGGTGACTGCAAATGTCTTAAGGTCCCTGGGAGGCAGTGAGGCCACCCACCCTGGGTTGTGTTTCCCTTGTACGGTTTTCTAAAGAACACGCCTGTGGGGACACTGCTGAGAAAGAAACAGGAGGGGACCCTGTTGTCTTCACCTCCCTGAGGTGGGGTGGTTAGAGGAAAGAATTGAGGGAGGGAAGAGAAGTTTGCAGAAGGAACATCAGATGCTGGGTGGGGAGTTCCCTCCTCCCCAAAGAGCAAAATCTCCAGGAGCGTTCGGGCTTTGCTCTGTTTTTCCTTTTGAAAATTACGTAACCAGCCAGGGAGAACAAAGCCTTCCCATGCCTCTCAGCGATACTAAAATAGCACGGAGAGAAATTCCGGCTGCCTCATCGGAACTCCAGCTCCACATCAGCAAACCTGAGGAAGGGGAGCATCTGGGTCCCTGCGTGGGAAGTCTGGGAGCCGGTGGCCGCGGGCACAGCACCAGCTGCACAGAGGCCCCTGCCCAGGCTGGAGGCTGAGTCCAGCTTCTGGTCGGCAAGTGTCCAAGGGGGCATGTGCAGCAGGTGTGTAAATCCTTCTGATTTTAACCGACTCCTGCAACATTTGACCCTTGTAGATTCAAGGGGAAACTTCTTTTCTTTTTAAAGGAAGGAGATCTGAGATAGCAGAAGATGGTGGCCTCTTTCAAAATCTAAATCAGTGCAATTATGACTTCAGTGGCTAAATAAGGTGAGGCCCTATTTGGGGCTTGCTTTGTTCGGGCTGTGTTCTGAAGGGAAGTGATCCCAGCCAGGTCTGAGCTTCTCAGAGGCAGAGCCTGCATCTTTATTTCTCCCACACTTGCTTGAGTACTTATTGAATGGTGCCTGCAGGCCACTGTGCGTTCCCTGAATTGGGAGATAACTCTGTGAGCCCACATCTAATAAGCCATCTTGGGAATGCAGGAAGTCCTCTGGCAGCTCAGTGTTCAGACCTGAGTTTTCCTGCCAAATTTTGGGACCCATAAATGGGACCACTTACTTTCTACCTGCAGGGTTAGCCCATGGCAGGGATGCTCAAAGATCCTTGGCTTGTAGCTACAGGAGTCCGTATTATCTTGCTTTCGACCAAAATGGCAGATGTGTGCCATACATATTACTATCACTCCATTTTGTGCCTATGGCAGACATTGATACTCAGTCATGACTCTCTCCTGATGAGCCAGGAGAATCAAAGTCCTTCTAAAACAGCACTCCTGAGAGCCTCTGCCAAGCACCTGGAGCTGGCACTCAGGTGGAGCCTACCTGCATCGGTGGCCTGGACTCTGACCTCACGCTACCATTGCTAACGGGATCTTTCTTTGTCTCTGGCACCAAGCCCTGCCTTGTTCCCCAGGCACACAGTCCAACTCAGCTAGCATTTATTGAGGGCCTCCTAGGTGCTGGGCATAGTCATACACATTCAACAACGTTTAAGCTGAAGTTTCATTAGTTACATTGTGAGGTAGGTGTAACTATTCTCAGTAGATGAATCAACTCAGCACAGCACGTGGTACACAGTAGGTGCCCTGCAGGTGCCCGTTCTCCTCTGCTTCCTTCCATTTTGCAGAGAGTTGAAATGACTTCCTCTAGGTCACACCCTAGAAGGTAGAGCCTGGGGTCTAAACTAGGCATGGTTCCAACACCACTGAACTCTGCCATCTCCCATGGGGCTTCCTGTTACAGAGCACTCTTGAGCATCCTTGAGTGCTTGCTTCTGTTTTTCTAATTTTCCCAGTTTCTTGGAGAAGGATTTACCTTGCTTCCTTAACTCATCTTGGGAACTGACATCCTTTGTCACTGTCTCTAGCCTCTGATCTCCAGTCTCCCTGAACTCTACTCACCAGCCATAAAAGGTATCTTTCAGCTCATAGATAATGTCACATTTCCCTTGCCTCTGGGCCTTCACACTTGCTGTTCCTTTTGTTAGGGAAACTGCCCCACTTCTCTTCGCCTGGTTCTTTTTTTTTTTTTTTTTTTTGAGACTAGGGTCTTGCTCTTTCACCCAGGCTAATGTGCAGTGGCTCGATCATAGCTCAGTGCAGCCTCAAACTCCTGGGCTTAAGAGCTCCTCCTGCCTTAGTCTCCTGAGTAGCCAGGACTACAGGTGCATGCCACCATGTCCAGCTAGGTTTTTTTCTTTTTTAAGTTTTGTAGACATAGGTTTCATCATGTTACCCAGGCTGGTCTCGAACTCCTGGGCTCAAGCAATCTTCCTGCCTCAACCTCCCAAGGTACTGGGATTACAGGTGTAATTCACACCCAGCCACTAATTCTTATGCATTCTTTAGGTCTAAGTTTAAATGTCCCTTTCTCCAGGAAGCCTTCCCTGATGTCTCTTTTCCCTTCCCAGACTAGCTTATCTGTTCAGGCTGTGTCCCTCTCTTAGCCCTTTTATGTCACTTTTCTCTCTGTTTCAGTTTTAACTACTGTGTTCGATGTTTGACTGAAGTGCAGTGAGGGCAGGAACTCCATCATGTGTATCGCTCTATTCTCAGCACCTAATTCCTAACCTACTGCATCAATATTAATATCTGAGCAGTGTAAATGCATTCCCAGAAGCTCCACACTCCAGACCATAGTTTACAAATCCAAATTTGTAATACTGACTTCTTTCTACCCGCCGAGGGATACCAACCAGACATGAGAATTTCACAAGTCTTATCTGATTTAAATCCTGGATTCAGTCCCTTTAAATTTCACAGAGTTCTTTACTTCTTTCCACCCAGCCCAGCCTGCCTCTTACCCAGGTGCACCGGCTCCTTATCCAGCTGACGCATGTGCATGGTCACCTCCTACTATTCCCGGGAGGCTAATCATTTGCAGGGGTTATGCTCAGAGGCAACAAGAAATCATTCCTAGAGCAGAAAAAAGTCAGCCCTCTCCCAGCGATTGCATCTCCCTGTTTTCTGGTGACAGAACTCGTATTTTGACAGGTCAGGTCAACAATCCCTGGACCATATGGGGCTGTCAGAATCCAGGAAAGTCAGGGAGCCAGGAGGCCTGGATTCTGGTCCTGCCGCTGCCTGTGAGCACTCCAGCCAGAAGTCTCATCTTTGTGAAGTGGGAATAACCACACTGCCCACTTACTCAAGAGAGGACAATTGGGCTGGCAATACAGATGTGCTTCCAATAATAAGTACAGTCATGACCACAACCCAATGATACCAAAGTGAACAGCACCCATCATGACATTAAGTGGGCTGTAGGGGCTGGAAGTGTGACCCCTTCTCCTGCCTTGGGCAAGTCTCAACATGCCTCCAGTAGTAGGGTGGCTTCAACATGAGAAGAGGTGAAACCACTGCACATGTGTTTTGAGTTTCTTTTCTGTGAGAGTTGGGAATGGAGACTGGCGGGGAGCCTCAGGCTGAATTATTTCTATCTTCTCTTCCAGGACACGCAGAGCTATCCAGCCCGGGGTGTGGGGGTATTAAGGAATGAATCTACAATGAATTGCCAACTGGCTGACCAAGTCCATTATGGTGATAGCATTCACTCGGTTCTAACTTCCTGACTGCCGCCATGTGTCCGCTGCCCTCTCTGTGAGCACCTCCTTCATGGAAAGGTTATGAAACCCAGAAAGTCAGACCCACATGCCACAGAGATCACATCGTAGGGACGTGAGCACTGGAGCGGAAACGTGTGGTTGTATACTTGCTTTTGTACTTTGCTCCTTGCTCTAGCAGGAGGGATACCAGGGAGTGCATTGGTCTCCTAGGAACAGTGAATCCCCTGCAGGCCCGTAGCATATTCCACACACCCACAACCCTCTTAGTCTTGATGGTCAGGGCCCGTGGGAGGCCATTGGATCGCAGTACACGTGGTGAGAGAGGGAGAGAACTGGTCAGCCTCCAGGTAAAAAGCTCCCTGGAGGGAGATGGCAAGGCATGAGGCTCCATCGCCTGGGTGGGGAGCGGACAAGAAGGCAGTGGAGCTCATGGATCCAGGGAGATGGGCAGTGGCGAACCCACTCTAAGCTCTCAGATGAGGCAAAGAACAGGAGCCTCGACAGGGACCCCAGTTTCCCCAGCAGCACCTGCGTTCCTTGCTGGTTTGGTTTCATGCTGGAAAAGGTGACCATCCAGCCTTCAGGCGTTAGTCAGTTCATACTAATTACAGCAGGAACCCAGGCAACTGAAGTCCAGAAAGGGGAAAGGACTCTGCCAAGGTCACTCCTGTGTTTTGGGGGCAGGCCCATCCCATTTTGGCATTTCTTGGGCATCAGGCTAACTTTACAGGGCATCCTCCGTCAGGTGAGGAAGGGGAGCCTGACCCAGCCAGCAAAGGCCCATGCATGGCCAGGATTGGCCAACTGCAAAGAACCAGATCCTCCTCTTCAAATAACTTAAGTCATAACTTTCTATCAGGAAAGAAAGAGTCACATATGGACCATGTGGCAGCGGCTACCAGCATTCCAAACCAGAATCCTCTCCCTTCACTAGAACAGAGCTGCAGCCAGGCTGCCCTCAGGGAGCGATGGTAGAAAGGGACTGAGAATTAACCCTGTCCTGGTAAGGATGTGCAGGGCTGGGGCCTAGCACAGCACTTGGCCTCCACTGGGGCCCAGCCAGTGTTTGCTGGGTGAGAAAAGCATCAATTCACTCTAGTGTGAGATTGGAGAGCCAAGCCCCCTTAAGGTCAGGTACAAAAGATGCCTCTGTTCAGGTGTAACGAAGACAGTGAATGAATCACAGGAATGTGGACAGTCTTATGCCCACATGCATCAGTGGGAAACAAAACACTCAGGATGCTGATGATACAAGCCAGGGTGCAGGCCCAGGCTAGGGGAGCAGGGACAAAGAGGAGGAGCTAGGGAGAGGACAAGAGGAGAGAGAAAGAAGGGGGGTAGTGGAAGGGGGGCAACGGGTAGAAGGAGGTCGAGTGAGGACCTTACCTCCAGCCCCAGAGGCAGCTGCCTGTCTTCTTTTTGAGTTGCTTGGCCATCATTAGCACTCAGGACACAGAGACGCACTATTCTCACTGCCTGGGAGCCTTGGACATACACATTGATCTAGTCCTCAATGCAGAATATGCTGCAACCTTGACAACAACAGCAGCACAGTAGCTTGACCAATGCAATCCTGCCAGCAGCCAAGAACCCTACAGTTCTCCTTGGTACTGGGAGTCTGGGGCAGGAACTGGTTTAACCTGCACAGTGTAGTTATTTCACTGGGAACCCAGATCAGAGCTGGCACCCCGGCCAACACACTTGGATATTTGGCATGCAGCGGGCTGGGTAGTGACGCACTAAAGCATTCCTTTGCCTCTACACACTCCAGATAAATGAACCTCAGGGTTTCATGAGTTCTCAAGAACCAGCAGAAACCAGGCTCTGTCTTGTTGCTATGACCTGGGGTCCTTATGTGCTGGGAACAAGAGGAAGTCAATGGGTTTGTGCAGGGGCTGCCTGGGGAAGGTCTCAGCCAGCCCGCAGGCTTATGTAGAGTCCTACTTCCAAGCTACCCTTTGGGAGGAAGAGTGCTTGATAGATATTGCCTTTAACCCAATGCATGGGCCAGAGCAATGAGGCTCAGAAAAGTACTTAAGGTACTTATACGCATCATGCACAGAGCTTCCTTGTGGAACAAACATGTAGAGGTAAAGGCTGGACAGGGAGAGGTGGGGCTGGATCCAGGTCAGCATAGGTGGGAGGAGCTGCCTCTCCTGTGCTGGTCACTTCCCACCTGGAGGAAACCAGCTGAGGCTGTTGTCACCTAGCCTGGCAGGAGGGGACAGAACTCTCACCTGTCCAGTGCGAACCTTCTGGGTGGGAGGCAGATTGCTTTTAGAACTAGGTTTTATTATATTGCCAATGACAAAATCATTTTCTTTTTTCAAGGAGTGATGTCAATTGTTTTTCGTTCTGAATCAGTTTCAGCTGCCTGAATTGCAAATTAGGATCCCAAGTGTGGGTGTGGGTAGACAGAGAGTCTGCGGACACCTCAAAGGGCCTAGCCTCAGAAAAGCCCGAAGAGCAACCCAAATGGGTCTCACATGGGACTGAACCGAGGGCCCCTGGGGGGTCAGATCAGTAGGGTTGGGACGGAAGATTGGCACCCAGGGCCTACCACCATTCCTAGGTTTAGTTTTATAAGGCAAGTGTTTCTCTGACATAAAACAAAAAGCAAAACAAATCGCTGACTTTGAGAGTGATCTCTTTTCACCCTGTGGATCATTTTGTCTTTTCTTTGACATAATTGCAGAGAGGCGTAGAGTCCCAGCTTCAACTCTACCCTCACCCAGGCTCCAAGGACCTAAGGTTCCCTTTGCCTTCCTTTGAGTTGTCAGCAAAGGTGGCTGGGAGTAAGGCCTGGGACAGTCTTGCTGGCCTCCCCGCATGAGGCCATCTCCTAGGGCAACCGTAGTGAGGGCAGGGGTGAGGCTACAGTAAAGCAGGGAGGTAAAGCCTTGTCGTGGCGATACTGCAGCCTTTCCCCTTTCATCCACCCTGCTTTAGGGTAGGTCCTGGACATCTCTAAATACCTAGATTCTACATCATGCCCCCTCTAGCTTTTGTCCCCTGCAGCAGCTGAGTGTGAGAACCATTCACTTTTGCTTTCCTGCAGCAGAGAGCACTTAGGATCTGTGGCATCCCTCAGATGGAATATGTTCATAAGAGGAATATGTTCAGAATAAACCCTGCAATGCTCTCTCTGCTGCTTTCCTGCATCCCCTGCAATCCGTTCTCCTTTCCTTATTATTCCTAAAACATATCTATTCATTTCATTCTATTAAAAAGTTTTTTTGAATAGCTCTCCACTGTCCCACGGATTCCTCACATGCAAGCTCCTCACACAGCCCCCACAGTCACGCCTGCACCTGTCTTCCCACTCTCCAGAGGCTGCCCCCGACACCACAGCCACACAGAATGGGGTGATCTTCCCTGGATTCACCACGTTCTCCACACATGCAGGTCCACCTGCTTATGACACTGTCCTCTCTGTTTGCCTGGAGCAACCCTGCTCATGCTGTGCTGAAATGTT